AGTTAAAGCATTGACCTGCATTTTTAACTTTCTCACAACGACATGCAGAGGAGAGTACTTTTGAAGTTAAATTTAAAGGTCCAAATTTAACAATAAAATTAAATGAGAAAAAGTGCGCCTTCAGGAGTAATACATTTACTCTAAGATCAGCACAGTTTTAAAGCTGGGCTTAATTTTTTAAATAACATCAATTTACTCATATTGTTTTCCAGCATTTTGCCATCCACTTGAAGGCGGAAATCGTGTCGTTGGGAAGAACAACTCCTTCTCGCATCGAGTCACGTAGACTTTGAATATGTGAAGTTAATTAAGAGGAAAGAAGAGTAAACAAAGCTTAGGAGTTGGCACTTTAGGGAACAGATAAAAGTGGCTTCTCTCAATGGACTGCTTTGGTTTGAAGTGATGGCAAAATAACTAAGAAGAAGTGGAGAGAAAAGGAACTGATCAGGCCTTCACACCTTTTCTCCACTTACACTCTGAGGCACTGCCTGTCACACCTCTGCTCCATCCTTCTAAGTGGAAAGACGGCAAATGCACAGCCTTCAATTTTTACAATTTTTGTATTTTATTACTTAGTTTATTACCAACACCGGCCATTTGAGCTCTATGATTCCTTTACCGTCTGCTCTTACACAAGTGATACTCGTTTCCTGCACCTCTCACGCCTCAGTGGGAGGACCTCTGCATCCAGGGCATCTCAAAGGGACGATGAGGATCCTTTTCAACTCACATCTCATCAAATATTTGATGTGTAGCAATTTGGTGTGAGCATAGGCACGAAGGGCTTCCAACCACCTGAGAGGAGGGACTGAAAACAACGCACTTTCTTCATTTGTCTCACTGCCTTGTAGCACTGATTCGCATTCTTCTTTCCTAGACTCGGAAAAATGTGGCACAGCATTCAACAACTCTCACTCGACCAAATCAACGTGTTTGAATTGCGAGAGGAGCATTTTAACCTCTTTGCAAACATGCGAATGTACTCCAACTCGTAATTTTAGCGCAACATATACACAGACCACCTTCAGACACAAATAATATCACTTCTTTGACAAGAAGAACAAAAGAGAGGAAAGGAACCCAAAGCAGACGTAACGAAAGTGCAGCTGCCGCTACTGTAGCATAGAATAAAGCAGACAGGAGAACGAAATAATTTGTCATAAAAATCAAATTCGTTTGACACTAGATTGGGAAATTAGAGAAAAAAAATTTTGTGCGTAAGGTTGATAAGGGCATTGCATTGTCAGCGCCTGACTGTTGACACAACCGATAGCTGCGAGCACGGGATTGGCCACTTCGGCTGCCTCATACACAGGAGCATGTGGCTGTCAGGCTAAACGGCTGGAGTTCTGGGAGTCACCGCTCTCTCGGACGGACGTGAATATGTCAACAATAAAATGGCCGAAAATAGAATTTAATTGGAATTTAAAGGGGAAAAATAGTTGCGAGTGAAAAAGACTCTTTGGTTTTTTTTCCAGACTCCGTTCGTAACCTCCTTGGGATGGCGCGCCCCGAACAGCAGCATCAGAAGAGTTTTATTAAGGCGAATTTTTTGCCATTTTATGAGGCTCTTACTCCTCCCTTTTCAGTCCTTTTAAGTTGCATCTCGAGCTTCTTGTGATCTATGAAGGAACTTCCCATCCACCCTGAATACTAAAAATTACTAAATTTATGCCTCGTGGTGCTTTAATGCGTGGGGCGACCTCCGCTGGTTGTACTTCCCCCTTACGGAATGGAATTGGAGTTCAACTAATGGCTAATCAGCTCTTCTTTTTCCATGCTTTCCATCCTCCCACCTCGACTGGTAAAGAGTTCAGATTCAAGGGGCTAAAAATGTCATGGTTTTTTCTTCCTTCTCACTGTGAAATTCACTCTGCTTATTTCAAAAAAAGGAATTTTAAAACAAACAATTCTTTCCAGTCATAGTTTTTTGCTCATGAATTTTGGGCGTTATGTTTGTTTTAGTTGGTGGAGCACAAAACATTAGCTCGCACTCTCCATTGCGCGTCATCAAAGTTTTTTTCACTGGCAAGGCCAATCGTTTAGCTGTCGCGGCACTGACAAACACGTCATTCCCATGATCGGTGTAACGGACTTTCTTTGATGACTTTTGCTATTGCAAATGGGCACACACGACTTCCATTTGAGATTGAAACCTTTAAGGTCACCCTTGAGTGTATAAAATGCAAGAGCCAGAAAGGTGTGAAGTAGGCGGAACATCCTCCGACTTCCTAGACAGACACTGACACCAGGCATTGGCCATGAAAGGGGCGTTTAGTCTGTCGCCAAGAATTTTAATGCTAGGAGTAATTTGATTTATTAAACCCAGTCAGCATACTGTTGATGGAGACGTTAATGCTAGGTGTGCTAGGGTAAAACGGCCAACCAAACCTTACTCGTCACATATTTTGTGATGTGCAGATTCAGCGGAAATAATAAAAGTGGCGCTGTTTTATAATCGCGCAATGAAGACAGCGAGCAGGCCATTGCTTATCAACAGCGACATTCCTTTTACAATGTCGTCCCCTCCCTCCAACACGCCTCCAAGCCTGTTTTCCCATTCCTAGTTATGTAGCCACAGAAAACAATCTGAGCGCCAACTTTCTGACGTCGGACTAGATGTAGGCGCTGGCATGAATGTAAACGTCGAGACGCCACACTGCAGATTGTCAGTGCTCCCACCACCCTCCGCTACGTAACCAAGCTGTGCGACACTGACGCCATGGCGTAGGTGATGTACGGACCGCGTCACAAGGCATGGGAGTGGGTGTGTCAGTGTTATAAGCGGGTGGCGGCATGTGACATGACTTGACACACAAAACGTTGCACTGATTAATAAAGAAAAGGTAGATGGAAACAATAATAAGGCGATGATAAAAAGTGTTAAATCTTACCGTTCATTACTCCAGCATTCTGCCAGAATTGCCTTTTGATGTCCGGTGCTGGTCAACTCGATGTAAAGGTTACTAGGAGGAGGCGCAAAAGTTTGCTGTACCTACTAGTGCATGAAACGTCATGCACACTTCTATTTAGATGGATCACAATGAAATTTTTATGCGTACAGCAACTCTGGATCGGCGGGTTCAGTGTGCTGCGTTGAACCAACTGTGACGACAGGTGTCAAGTGTAATCCAGTTGATGGCACCAAACAACGTCGACTGTGACATTCTACCAAACTGCTTCCTCCTTATTTGCAATGGCAAGTCAGTAGAGGTGGTGGAAGTTGAATGAGACGAAGGGATGCAAAGTTGGTGAGGAGCTGACTGACCGACTCCACCACCAATACGGTTAGTTTGGCAACACGTCTGCCATCGCCTTCGCCCCTCACCCTTTGTGGTGACCCTTGCACTGATTACAACAGCATCCATTACGAGCAAGCGTCTGCTGGGCGTTGTAATCGCGCCCGACCTTCATCTCCACCGATGCATAAAGCGTGTGCCCGAGGTGGACAGTGAAGTGGATCTGGAAAGGAAGGACAAAGGGTCTGGAAGGTGGTCAGATGAATGGATGGATGGTGATTTGATGATGAGTGAAATTTCGTGGAAATAAAAGGATAAATGAGGCGAAAAATGTGACGAGGAGGGGAATGCAAATGGTCCGAGACGTGCAGGAACGAAATGCCCTTAAGAAAAGTCAGACATATCTGTGGATACGAGTTTCATTTGGATCCGGTTGCTTCGTTTGTTTGGAGTGGTTTCCGTAGAGTCGATAATTTCGTGCATTAACTAGTGGAGTTTATTCGACTGGAGGGCGCAAAACCGGAACCGGAGCTTAGAATGCACATTTTTAGTCCTTCCTACTCCTCCGTGGTTAAAAGCCAAACCTGGTGGTGGGGTGGAATGAGAGACTCCAGTGTGCCCAAGTGAGGTCACCTCAACAAGGTGTAAATTTTATTATAAAGATGTGGAGGTCCTCTTCTTTGCCCTCTGATCGTCATCGTTGAGAACTAAAAAGATGTCATATAAACGAGTTTACCGGCAATGTTCAAATTTTTGTTGTCTGCAAAACCAGTTTGATTTGTCTTTAAAGAATAGGACTGGCAATGTAATTGACTTTACTGAGAAAAGTGGACAGTAGAGGCATGAAGACGATCGTCAAAGGCACGACGATAATAGCGGTCTTCAAAAATTTGCTCAAATGTTAAGCCACATAATGCAAATTTCAATCCGCTCACAGCACAGACGTTTCCCACATTTAAGTCACTTTTCGACTTCTCTGGCCATTCTTTTCTGGACAAAGAGATCTTCATCTTTGTGAAAGCAGCTTAATTATGCCACCACGATGGTTTCGCTGATAAACAGTGAGGCGTGCAATGAGAGAGATAGAAATGGTCCAGAGAAGGTTGTTTACTGCTGTCTGGGTCTTCCAAAGTTCACATCATTATTACATGTTTATCTATCTGCCAATCACTTCCTCTAGCATGCGCTAGCAGGAGAAGTTGATTCCGGCGTCAAATGGAGGGAGCACGAGTTGCCGCCTCCACCTCCTGTTGCAACGGGGGTAAAACGCATTTTGTAGAAGCGACGACAGCAAAGAGTAGTGCGATGCAGTGGTCAATTGTGACACGACAAGCTTAACCTGTTCAAATGGGTGAAAATGGTTCCTCTCGGAATGGGGTAAAAAAAACAGGAGCTTAAAATAATGGCACTTCGTTGGCTATTTAAAGGCAAAAAATACTTCAATCCTCACCGTGGTGCAGCGCCTGACTAGCTTTAATTTCATTGCCGATGTTAACATATCTGCAAATTTTTTTGGGGCAGATTGATAGACTTGCATAATTTTATTTATCCGAACAATTTATCCAGTGCGGAAATGGAGAGCAAAATCAACGTTCTCCAAATATTCTACGTCACGAGTGCAAAAATGGATTGTCAAATGTGCCACCGAGGAAGCCAAAAGGATTGCTCTTAAATTTGAGCGTGACGCTTTGCTTGAGTCTTGAATTGGCGCTGTGGAGGAGGAAGTGTTGGCAGTAGAAGGTGAGGCACTACACCCACGGAATGAACGTCCAAATTGACATGGGAAATGCGCACTTTCTTCCCTCCCACCTCAGCATTACTGCTGCCATTATTGTTAGTGTGGAGACAGAAGAGCAGAAGAGTGACGAAGGTGGCATCACTCGACTGCCTTCACGAATGCTGTGACTGTTGACAACTCACCTGACAGTGGACACGTCTTTCCTCCCTTCCAGGTCATTCCCATAGTGACACACGATGACGACACGGAGGAGCTGAGTGAGGAGGAGTTGGCCAAACGCAGGGAGTTCGAACGCAAACGAAAGGAGGTGGCCACACCCGAGGGTTTGGACATAAAGGCCGTGTTGGGTCATCGAATCTCCATTCCAAGCGGTGATGGTGATGACGACGAGGACGAGGACGAGGACGAGAGCGAGGAGGAGGAGGAGGAGGAGGCGGAGGTGGGGGCGGAGGAGGCGGAGGAGTGGAAGGATGATGGGAGAGTGAGAGACACACAGAAGTTGGAGACGGGGGATGGTGTCGCAGGCAACGCCACCCATTCCTCCCCGAAGTGCACACCGAGTGCGCAGAAGGTCTGAGAGGGCGCAAAGTGCAGTTGCTGACGTGTTGGTCCTTTGGGTCATTTGTACAAAACTGAAGTGATAAACAACCGAACCGATTATCATCCTCCTCCACCCGCATTTGAATGCTGCATAATTATTGTTACCTGTTTATATTAGGCAACTTATTGCCTTATTTACCTCGTTGTTCCATTGGCAATGGCATAAACTAGCACTTTTATTTGCCCACTTGTTTTCATCCGCTACCCCAGTTCCGTACAAAGCTTTAGGACCGTAAAATTTTCATCATGACCGCGCCACCAGCGAATAGTCACCCACTGAATCGCTTGAATAGTCACCACTCCTTTGTGACATTTTGTACTGGAGTTGGAAGGTGTTCCGAACCTACACAGAAATAGCAGTTTGGAGCAGAGAAGTGACAAAAATTTAAATGGCATCGATAGTTTTGCCACATTTTGCCGCACAAATGAGCTGTTCATCTTTGCCTTTTGGCCACTCAGCGTTTAAGGCACCGTCAAGGCGTTTTCTGCCTAAAGAATTCCTATGACACTCTACGACATTATTAATTATCGAAGGAGCTGAGTAGACGCATACAAGGCCGCTCTCCACTTCATTCGCCTCACATTTTTCCAGGAAGAGGACTGACAATCGCAATCCACTTCATTCCTTAAAAAAAGGAAGTGCACAAGGGTTGAATTCACGTAAGTATTTAAGCCTTCTTTTCCGTTAATGACAGCTCATACAGTAATCATTTGTTATGCAGGTATTTGGGGAGGATTGTTTCCCTGTGCTTTCTTTTTAAGTCTTCGATTTTATTACGAGGCAACGCAGCCAACCACGTCACACCTCCGGCTGCCACCAACTCTTGCCATACAGCCTATTACTTTGCAGAATGGAAGATTTCTGCTCCACGTTCCCTCTTTGCATTCCTCTAATGCGTCCTTGGGTTGCACCACCCTCGTCCCGTCCTAAAATTACCCAAAGGCATGACCACGAACACTGTCAATGTGACAGTTGGAACATGAGTGTAGGGCAAATGAGGAGAGGATCGGGGTCAAGCGCCTTTGCTACCAAATGCAACAGAGTTGGGAGGGAACATCGGTTCACCTCACACTGCTTTGCACATTTCAAATCAATTTTTTTTCTGAAATTTTCTCCTCATATTAGATGTAAGTGCTTGACAGAACATAAATTGGGCGATTTGAAGGCGAATGAGTCACGATTTTTACTTTCTCCCAGACCTAAATAGCAATACACATTTCAACCTGTAAAGATGGTTAAATTTTGATTTATTAAGTCAATTTCAGTACTTCAAATACTTTATCCGGTTGAGCACACAGGCTTCAACTTTTCAATTCCCTTGTCTGTCACATCTGACAGCAATTGAACAGTCGCCGTAAATCCGACATTGTCACATTCAGTTGACATCCTGTCCATACCTGTTGCTGTATCAGTCTTGCAGAGTCCTGAAATGCTCGCCAACAGACTGGTGCTTAACCTTCGAAAGTGACCTCAACACCTAGCCATTGGTGAGATCCACGGCTTTTGGGGAGGCCTCCTTTTAGAGACCATTCTCCCTGCAAATATCACAAAAGATTTATGCTTGATGTCAATGATGAGGGTTCCAACCCATTAACAGTCACGCAACGTGGTAGGGGAAGGCGTTTGATCAAAGCGTAACAGAGCACGGCCTTTGTGGTCTGCCTCAACATAAGCTGGCACTTTACGGTAAAAAAGTGAGTTTTTTAGGCCAGTGGATTGTTGTCATTTAATTGCTCAGTTTGTGGAAATATTTTATGCAACTAATGTTACTGACTGCTTGAATGGCTGGTTTGTGACTAGACGTTAGGCGGACCATTGTGTCACGGCGAAAGTGCACATGACTGACCGCTTAATTCGAAACTTTGCCCTTTTCAAACAATGGCCCACGTCGCCCTTTGAGGGCTTCGCAAACTTCATTATGTCCATATAAGATGAAAAGTTTCTACAAAGAAAGACTCCTAGCAATCGCAGCGGTTGAATGTGACAGGGTTGAAATGCATTTTATTTTGCGTAAAAGGTAAGAATTTTGTAAAGAGGCCTCCTGACCACCTTCTGGTGGCTACTTTTGTGTTAAGATCACAGTTGATTGCCCAGCCAATGCAACTGTGCACCCGCAGCTCCAAAAAGCATCACCTTACCATGATCACAAAGACAGTGTATCTTCAGACTGCTACAGTCTGTACGACCGTCCTACGTTCTTCTATTGCTGCCTGCATCGAGGAGGGTGTTCGCTGACACAACAGCCGGATAAACATGGCGAAGATTGCAGACACAACACATTCTCCATTTGGTAGGTGTATCCAGCGCTCGACGCTAGGAGGGTTTAAAATAAGTCCTAGTGCATTGAACGATTTTATTGTAGCCTTCTTTACACTTTCCACGTAGCAACTGTAACTCCATTCACTGAAAACCGCACAATTTATCTGAAGACCTCCATTATGACGTTCCCTGGTCTTTGCAGTGGTGTTTACTTTGGTATGGCCAAAAAGTGTGGCGCTTGGAGGACTCCAGAAAGGAGGTCTAAAATGAGCCACGGTATTGGACACACCACTTGCTGCCAGGATGTTGGGCGGAGGCGGATGGCATCAAAGCGGCGATTGCAACTGAACGACTGCAGAGCGGCCATCAAGTCCATGCGCCGCCACAATGAAAACCTCTCTGACAAACAATTGAAAAATGGATGGGCAAAAACAAAGAATAATGTGTATTTTGGCTGGACAGGTGATGAGAAAACATCGCTGACATTAATATGGCCTGGCAATTGTTGCCATAGCTTATTGTTCTTATTTTTCGGAGGGCTGAATGGAGAAGGAAAACAATTTAATGGAAAGTCTTTCTATGTAAACAGCATGACTCTTCCACCATTTCATAAAACTGTTTTAGCAATATTTCCTTGATACAATTTTGTCCCGATGGAAAGGAGTTTGAAAGGAAAATAGTCACTTCATAGTCAGAGTTAATTTAGAGAGCAGGAAGGAAACCAGCGTCGTGACAAATCAAATTACCCTTAAGGCAATCAGAAAGTAGGGTTAAAAGACCTCTGATGTTGTTTGTAGGTGGTTATGCAAGAACAGACGTCCTCGAGGCACCAAATGTGGCTTCACTGCCGACAGCGTCCACCAACTTGGAGAGCAACGTTACTACACTTGGGGACGAAACTCAACTTTCGCCTGTCTTTGGGATTGTGGATGTCCTTAACCTCACAGTGAGTCAAAGTTTGGCAAAGAACGCATCTCTTTATCTCACCGGCGACCAAAGCGACCACTGACCGCGATGTGCCCTGCAGCCTTTATAAGCATAATCGGAGGTAAAAATGTTGGCATAATATAGAGAAAAGGATGGAAAGGCTTTGGAGTCGCAGGATATCAAAGCTGGACTAATTGGTGTGAAGGTGAAGGCTTTGGAGTGCTAAGCCATTATAACTCGAGAAGAGTACAACATCGGTTTCGAGATTACCAAATGTGTTTCCTTTCGTAAGGGAGTTGGAAGGAAGGAAGTTGTTAAAGACGTCAAGTCAATCAAGTCAAATATTCGCGCGCATAAGAACGGAGACTATCACGTCCTCGACCGAAGGTGTCGAGTGTTGAGGCTGAGAGCTGACGAGCTCTTAAATGCCCACAGCGCATGCCCAACCAGCGTTCGCTGTCTGGGTTGTAGGGCCGAGTCAAGAGTTCAAGTCTTTCACGTCTTCCTGTAGGTCCACTGAATGGCCTCCACCTCACCGTGATTTCCTTCGCCACACGGAGGAGGACCTCCTTCTCTCCTTGGCTAAAGAAGGGTTCGCGAAGCGAATTCACTCAGAGCATGAACCCGAATTATTTGCTGATACGAATCTTGCGAAAGGGCCATCAGAACAATGGAAGCAAAAAGATTTTGTTTTGGTGTTATAAATATCGTTACCGTTGTGTGACGGAGGAGGTGGACTGGTTTACATAAACGGACAATTTGAAGTAGAGCTGATGAAATTTGTCTAACCGAGAGTGCTTTATTTGGTACCATTTTCTGCCTTTATATGGACCGCTTCATTTAGAGGCCTTCTTCGCTTTTGAGACCAGGGAAGCTGCATACAGTTGAATTCGCAGGATGAATGTATGCAGTTTTATTAAAGCGGATATTTCTACTGTCAGCTCTCAAGTCATGTATCAATACCTGTTACCTAGGGGAATGAAAACAACAGTTGGGCACAATGTGTCCAAGTGAGGAGAGTTTCACCCTCACACTACCCCTGGCAACCCTCCGAACTACTTTTACAGAGATTAGACAGTCAGTTTTGGTGCAAGTAGCACTTTGTCACGCAGAGTCGGCTATCGTGACAAGCCTCAGCTGACAAAGTTTTCGGTTAAGTTATGACATCTTTGTTTTATCGCACTGACTGTTTCTAATACGGCTTACGAGGCTATTTCGCTTTGGCGGCTGGAAAGTGTCAAGGAAAACTCTAATTTCATTGGCTCAATAGCGAACTTGTAAGGAAATTTAAAAGAAAAACCATCTGCAAGTGGAAAAACAGCAGTAATTCCAAATAATTTTTTATTTGGGGAGAGAAGGGAGGGAGAGGAGGAGAAATCCGCATGCATCATTGAACCTCAATTTGTTCCTGTGCTTCGGACGGATAGCAGGTGAACAGCAAAATGGGCATCGTAAGCAAGCATCTTGGAATCCTGGGTGACCTACAAAAAGGAAAAGAACTGTTGACTTCATTGGACGAAGTAAAATAATCGAACCTCCAAAATACGCTCATTTTTAGTCAGTAGTGATGGACAAACAACATAGCCTGGCTACCAGAGTCAAGCCCCGCCTGGGAGAGTAAAGTGGTCTCGATGCGCAGTTCCGCTTCCTTTGAACTTGTAGCTGGATCAAAACTCCAGATGTAGTGGAGACGGTGAGGTGCTGCACCACCACTCGATTCAAAAGCTTCCCCACCTTTGCTTGAACATCGATGACTCCCGCGCCTCGATCAGAGGCGTCGTCTCCGAGGT